TTGTTTTTACTTTTAAAATGGGTGATACTTAACCTCTTAGTTATGAATTTTTTCCATAAAATTAGTTACAATAAATTTACCAAAGGCTCATTTTTTTGTAAGGTTTTTGTTTATGGTAAAAATAAATAAATAAATAAATTCCAAAGAAAGTTATCTTATATCAAATTTCTTTAATTTTTTTTTAAATCAAACAAAGCGTTTTCCAAAAATTATTAAAATTTACTCAAAAGCAGCTTTTTTATTTCAAAAATAACTTTTTACTTTTTAAAAACTTGCCAAACGGATTCTAAATATATAATTAAACTTAATATTTATCTTTATATCATATAATGACTAGTCAACTCGATGATCTCGTAATACTTCATTTTATGATTCAAATTTGGCCAAAAGTTAGTGATCAGTTATTCTCTTAAGTTCAACATTAAAAATTTGAATGTAATCAAAATTAATGCTTAACTTTGACCGAATTTGTAAGTTAGCGTAGTGCAATCATAGTTAAGAATTATTGTAGTATGAGTTTTGTCATTCAAACAGGACCAATGACAAGCCCTATTGACAGGTCGAGATCAACACTTCAGCCCTTGATTGTTATGCTGTAGGCCCCATGAAATTCAAAATCAAGGGCTGAGGTGTTGGATTTAATCCCGAGTCTTATAGCAATTTGTAGTATTATACATGACATCTTACGTGGTGCGACATTATTAAGCCCCTGTTTGGTGGGGGATTAAAATAAAACTTTAGGTAGATTTTAATAAAAGTTATCGAAATGTGTTGCTGAAAAGTTATAGATCTCATAAAATGTGTGGTTAAAATTAGTTGTTGAATTTGATTTAAATCAAAATTTGGATTTAATTTGTACCAAACAAGGGCTAAAAGTTATTTCATTTTTAAATTATCACAATAATGTCACGTAGAATACTTATTGCAGTTGCTTGACATTTAAACAAGGTTGAACAACAAAATCGTCAAATCGCAAATTTAATTGAAATCACTTTTTTGAAACCTTAAGTTTGGATCCACGTGCATCCGTCAATGCTTGATTTTGAGCTAAACTAAAGTGATTTTGTTTAGATTTCAATATTTGCAAATCATTTTAACCGTCTAATCGTTTACAAAAAATTTGAAAATAAATTAATATAAATCTTATCCAACCCAATTAGAACTAAAACACATCTCAATTTAAAAAGTGAATCATACTACATGCACATCATCCTTTATAATTTTATTTACACTTTTATACATGGCACAATCTTGTCTTTTGATTTCTCAAATGTCTTTTCATATAATTTAATTTTAAAAAGATACATTCATATTAGCATAACCATCACAATTAATTGATTAAGCAACCATTTAGGCCCCATTTAAATCTATTTTGGGGGGAAAATATATTTTGAAATAGTGATATTTTGAAAAATACGTGGTTAAAAATAAGCAAAAAATTTTTGGATTACGTGTAATATTATTTCATTAGAGAACGTTAAGACAAGAAAGAAAAATGCATTTTTGAATAAAATAGAGCTCAAACAGGGGCTAAATCATACTTATATACTTATCAATCATCACAACTATGAATATAAAATTCTAAAATTGGATAGAGTGTTGAACAACTGTTATTGAACCATATTCATCGACCGCGCCATTATAATTGAGTTAAAAAATTAAATTTGGATTGTAATTCAACTCACACATTTCTTTTCCTTACACTAATAAATTTCTCGAATTTTAGCTAAATTTTTCAGTTAGTTTATCCATTTTTTTTTGTAATTGTTTGCTATATTTTATTGATACTTGTATTGTTTTGTTCCATGTGGCGTCAGGTACCCTTAAATTTTTCATAGACAATATTTTTTGTTTATTTGCATCTAATTTTCTGATCATGCCAGTTAATAAAATACATATAATTTAACATAATTTCTAGATGTTCCTGTCAACTGCTAAAATGATTTGTGGATTACTTAAATGTTTGTTTTGAAAATACGAACGATGAGTTTTTCGACCTATTACTTTGGTGAAAATTGAATTTAAATAAGATTATCCCTCAAATTTAGGGATGGGTATGGTCCGGTTCGATTCGATTTCAACAAGAACCAAATTCGACCCGATTTTTTTAGGTATTTAGTAAGTGGAACCGTCGGGTACAAATATATTTATGGAACCGTTTGGGTTCGATTCTCGGGTTGCGTACTAGAATTTTTTTTTAATATTTACAAATCTACATTAATTCAACTAGTGACAAATTCAATTTTAGCTCTTTCAAAAAAACGTAGTCCAATCTTATGTGTCTTTTGCGTCTCTCTTTGCTGAGTTCCTCATTATTTGATTGTTAAAATTACAAGATGAGAAAGAGGGAAAGCTCACAATAATTAAGAAAGATGTTATGGAGCTTTAATTTAATTTTTTCAAAACAATAGAAACGACACTACGGTAGAATAATAGATTTGAGCAAAACTTAGATCAATTTAATTAAATTGGGTTTGGACTAAAAATTAGAAATAGAAAAATCATATTTTTGGATTTGAGCAAAATTAACTAGCAAATTTATTTAGAAAAAATAAAATAAATTGGCTTATTTAAATTAAATAAATTTAAAAAAATTAGGGAGATTCAGTTTTTCGATTCTTGATCTATAACCAATAATTGAATTGAATCTGTTGGTTCTCAATTTAAATACCCATTCGGGTATTTAACTTAAGAATGACTGCTCGGCTCTATTTGATTGATTTGATTCGGGAGTTTTGTCTAGTCCTACTCAAATTACAAAATATTTGTTAGATATTTAAATATTTACAATTGCTTTCAAACCTGCATTCCCTCCCAGTGTCAAGTTTGTTATTCTTTTTAAAAGTTCATTGAGTATAAAAAATTTATAATGATTCATCAATATTTGGATGGCTTGAAAACATTGGATAATTCACAAAATGTCGTAGAAAGTATTATTATATTTGACATTTCTATTCATTTTATTTTATTAGTCGTTTCATATCCATTAATTAATGAAATCATAAACTATATTCATATCTTTATAGCTAGAATGAATAATGTGTTACAATCACAGTTGTCAATTAGTTTCGATTAAAAGCTTAAAAATGTTTGTATAATGTTGTTACATTTTAATGATTAGAATTATAGAACTTTGATTTGTACTATTTTTAATGATATTATTTATTTTTTAATGTAAAATTTTAGACTTCTAATTACAATTTAACTCATTCGACATATGTTATTTTTTCTTTGTTAAATTGTGGTTTTAAATCAAACCAAACCAAAAAAATAGTTTGATTTGGAAATTGAAGTGGTTTGGTTTGAAAAAATTTTAAATTGTTTTAAGTAGTTTGATTTGAAAAATTGTCTCAAATCGAACCGTGTTCTTCCATAATTTGAAGGAAGGCTAAATTAAATAGACAACCTATAAGCATTTGGGTTAAATACACTAAGATAAATTTTGGTGTACATAAAATATGTATATAGGAGTGTCCATACTCCTCACATGGGGTGGAGCCCACATCGCACAGGTCCTACCCCATGTGAGGAGATACGAACTCTCAAATTATGTACATCAAGTACAACCCAATCCACTAATGGCCATCATATTTAGTGTCATCATGGTCATCCAATTAGATTTTGTTTCATTAGGGCCACCTAACTTTATATTTAATGTCCCGATTTGATAATGTTTACCCGTGACCATCAAATTTTATATTACGATTTACTATGATCGCCCAACTTTTTTAAAATTAGTATTATTTTTAACAATCCTTTTTAAAATAAATTTTTATTTTATTTTTCTAATTGACTTTTTTAAACTATGTTTTTATATTATTTTAAAAACCTTTTTTTTTCTAAGTAACATTTTTTAAAAATAACTTTTTATTTTATTTTTCTAAGTAACATTTTTAAAAAAAAATAACTTTTTATTTTATTTAAAAACTGCTTTTTCTAAAATAGTTTTTATTTTATTTTTTTAATTTTAAAATAATTTTTTATTTTATTTTTTAAATAACTTTTTTTAAGTAAGTTTATATTTTATTTTTTAAAAGTAATTTAATATTTTTTAAAATTATATCATATATAGTACAAAGTTACAGTTTTATTCCTTTTAAAATTAGTGAGAATGATCAAAAGAAATTGGATAACCATGATGAAATATTCTTTGAAATGGAGTATCTATGATGAAATAAAATCAAATTGGATGGTCATTGTGACACTAAGGATCCATTTGATTGCAAAGATGGAATTGAATTTCCTAGAAAACAAAATTTAGGGAATTGAATTGCTTAGAAATCGTTTTCTTGAGAATTGTAAATTATCGTGTTTAATTGGTATAATTTTTCACGTGAAAAATGTTGAAATAAAAGTATTTTTTGGTGTTCGTTTGGCTTTATTTTACATGAAAATTATCAATTAAAGGGATAAAATTTACTGGTATTGGAGATGAAATTTGTTTCTATTGCCAAAAAAAAATTCAAAAAAATCATCTTTCTTTTGATGTTCGTTTTGCTTTGTTTTACATGGAAATTGTTAATTAAAGAAAAATATTTTTTTACAATAATTCTTAGAATTTGTTTCCATTGACAAAAAAAAAAAAAAGGAAAAGCTGGAATTTCAATTCTCACCATTCCATCAATAGAAGGAAAATGTTAATGTGGCGACAATTGGTAGAATTCCAAATCCATGGAATTAAAAGGCTATCAAACAAGTCATTTTGTGAGAAAGAATTCCATTTCCATTTTCTAGGGAAAATAAGAGCCAATCAAACTGGATCTATAGATAAAGTTAGATGATAATGGTGTAACAAAATTAAATTTGGTGATTATAATGACACTAAATATAAAGTTAAGTAGTCATTGATGGATTTAATTCTAAGTATTTTGACGTAATTGTAGTCATTTGACATCTAAACCCCACTTATAATTAAAACCAAAATTACTTATAATTAAATGATGCAACGCCGGCCAAATACTCAAACACCGAAATAGGCGCCAAAATCTGAAATATTTCACTCGGATTTAGGTTCCCGTATTTGACGGTCAGCTTCATCCTTGTCTCTTCAAATAAGTGAACTCTCTCATTTTGAATTGCTATTTCAGTATCTCTATTTACTAATCTCACATTTTGCTTCTTCTCTTTCCCTTTTGGTTTATTCTTCTAATTTTATCTATTATTTTTCACTCATTTTGCATCCCAAAAAATTCACTTACCCCTTCTTTCTCAGTCTATAAAAATTTGCTCCTAATCTCGCTTATTTTTCTTGGGTTTACTGTATTAAACATGGTTTATGCGGGCAAAGAATCAGAAGGCAAGAAATGTTTAATATCTGGGATCGTAATCCGGGATCCATTAAAATCAATATCCACAAAACCCAAAGAGGAATCTGAAGATGATAGTGAATTCTCTACTACTCCGACAGCTCGAGAATCGAAGATACCGGAGAAATTGCCTTGCCCGCAAGCACCAAGGAAGCGCCGGCCTACATCTACGTGCAATTTTAATGGTGTTAGGGAATTCTTTAATCCGCCGGAGTTGGAATCGATATTCATCCGCCATACCGAAAGAGCATAAAGATTTCAAGGATTTATTTATTTATTTGGATTGTCATTTCTTACAAGTTTTAGAGTTCTTAGCGCTTAGTAGTTTAGGCTTCTGATAAGGTAGTTATATAGCTAAAAACCCAGGTCGAAGAAGAAAATTACCAATCTTAAAATCAATGAGTCGATTGGATCAGTTTGGCTGGAAAACAATAATCTTTAATTAGAATGGAACACCAACTCAGCATCTGTAGCATCTATGAAAGTACACCAGCAAAGTTTGATTTGCTTAATGAAGTTCAGTTTTCCAATTTTTTACAACTCAGCCAAAAATGATTTTTTTTTCCTGCTTATTTGGGCAGTATGTGCAATTTTAGCTTATTTGGACAGCAAGTGCTTATTTAGGAGTGGGCACAACCCCATTATCTGAAACTACACCGACAAGGCGAATAAACTGTTGATGGAAATCCCCTTGAAAATCAATTTTTATTAAAATCTGATCCTTCAAACCAAAGTTTTTCGAGATGGTCCAAGCCAACTCTTATGCATATGTCCCATATAAGTTAAAAAGTTGCTTTCAAGTTGGAATAAATATGTACTGAAATCACACATGAGAGAAGAGAGGCTCAAAATGAGAACTAATAAGAGAAATTATTGACTAATTTAACCAATGTTATAATGGTTACTTTAATTACGTGATTATTAAAGTATTGTCACAACTTTTTAAAATAAAGTAATACTGCTACAAGATTTTGTGCATAGTCAAAGTGATTAGTTTAAAAGGTGACAAGGGGAAGTTCACCTAATGCAATGCAATGGCTCCTTTAGTAGTATAAAGAAAGTTATCTAGGGATTGGCATTCACTAACAAAGCCATTTTTAACACTATTAAAAATTAAAGTTTTTTGTTAATTTTCATAAACATACCATTTTTATGTTCAAATAGTATAATCCTTCGTCTAATGCCCAATTCTCATTTTTAAGGATAAGTTTGAAAATTTTCATCATTGTTTCCTTGTAGGAAGCAACATATGCGCCAAAAATGAAAAAAATTCTCATTATTTGTGTCAATTGATTGACCCTTCTCTCTTTACTAAATGGTAAGAAAATCAGTCTCTTCATTGCATTTAGACATATTTTTATTAGGTCCTCACTAGAGCCATAAACTTAAAGGAGAAATGGAGTACAATCTCAACGTGACAAGAATCGTTTCTATATATAATATTAATATCTGATAATAAAATCAGAAGTTATTCTAAGTAACATATGGTTAAAACCAAAATTGTATATAAAAAGAAGTCGACAAAATTTAAAAAAATGGGTCAAAATAATCGAAAGTCTCTATATTTTGGTTAGTGATAGTTACTATTTCTAATTGATTGAATAAAGCTATACCTTTGATTACAAAGGATCATCTTAAGCCCCTTTCCATAATAAAGTTGTTGATTGGTTAGCGTGGGCGAATAATAAAAAAGATAAATGGTATAAAGAGCTAATTAAAAGCTTTTTTCTATAGCAAATGGATTAATTTCTACTAATTATAAGCGGAAAATTTGAAGAAAAAAAATATCAATTAGACAATTGGATTGGAATTAATGAAAGGGTAAGTAAATGGATAAGAACCCAATGCATTGAAGACGGTGAAAGAAAGAAGGTACGAATTGAGATCCACAAATTAATGGCATTAAAATGGAACCCTATGAAGAATAAGATTCCACATTCGAGAATAACAACGTAAAATTCTCAATTTTTTTAAACAAATAATGCTCCTTGTACTATGTGTTTGACATTGCATGCAAATTCAATTTGTCTTTGGTGGAGTGTGTTAAATTCAAAAACTATTCAATCATGTGCCGACACATGGCACAATGTCAAAGACGATGTAAAGCACAACGTACAAGTAACATAATTCTTTTTAAACTTCCCCCCTTTCTAATTTTTAATTTTTCCAAATAAAATTTCAAGTTGCAACATCATTTTGGGCTCCACGCGGTTACCTGCCTGCCAGCCCACTTATCAATGCTGGAGAAGGAGAACTAACCCATCATGAACAAAAACGACAAGTCCATTTATTCTTCATGTCCCGACAAGAGTTCACTAACTTCGAAACTATAATATAGTTCATTGCTCGACTCGTTCACTCTTAATGCACGGTTTAAATTCGAAATGTTATTAGTGAAAGTTTCCCCACCAATTCTTGCTCACGTTAGCAATTTTTTAAGAATAATATTATTGTTCACGTGGAGTGATAGAGATTTCGGAAGTTTATGTGGCATTATGACCGCTATTACATTGTCTAATGAATAAAAATGCACTGTAGTTTCGTTTAAAAATGTGAGAAAAATCCTACTGCTATGTGAATATCATTAACCATTAAAAAAACTTCAAATAGGATGGTCATGTGTACAGGTGATAGAATCAAACTACAAATATATAGGATCTCAAATCGCGACACCTCGAATTTTGAGGTGGTAATAGAGAAAGTGAACGTGTAGTGCCCAAGTGTCGTATTTCGAATGACTCCAGATATCGTGATTTAAATGGATGATCATATTACATAAAAGCATAGAAGATTGTCTTATCGAAACTTTTCTCGTCACAGGTAGTGAACTAATGATTGGATGGCTCAAATTTCATTAGCTGCATTTTAGTAAAGAAATTGGATCACCATATACCACAATTTCAGAACACTGGTTGGACCATTGATGCAATCAACAATTATCCCCAATTCACAAAACACACCTTATGTGCTTGTTTGGTAAGAATTTTGTTAATTAACTTTTTGACCGATAGAGATAAATTGGGTCCTACTTATGAGAGAAAAATTTAAAAATGACGGCTGGAATAGTGAAATAAAAGTCAAAAAATTGATTTTAATTGGATTTCAAGCTGTATCAGACATGCTCTAATATCGGAAAAAACAAAGACTCTTCCAAGTGTCATTCCTATATTTAAATCATCTATTACGAGTGAAATCCTAGCCGACTAAACAAAAGGCCAATGCAACTGCAAGAGATGCCAATTTCTGCACACTCAAATGAGAACGACACAATAGTTTATTGACAGTGCCAACTACCACAATCGGCCCTTAGTTTTGATCATTGGACACTTCTTGTGCTTCCTCAATCAGTGGTAAATCCCTAAAGATCAACTCTATAACCTACATGTTTCAAGCAAAGTACCCCAAGATATATCCACATAAAATCTCGATATCCCACGTGAAATAAAGGTTCGATTCTAGTTTCACAGCGAAATTTACCATATAAAACAAACCAATTAGCTTTGAGGATCTTAAAAGGGCAATCTACCAAGCATACAAGGAAACGAGCACATTTGAGGACTACATTATCAAGATGACTCGCGTACACCATTCTTACAAGAATATGTATGAACAACATTTACACGACCACTTCAACATAAACATGAAACGGTGACAAACAGAGGCTCCTTCAAGAATGCTTAAAAATATATCAACAGAATAAAAGTTTACACATTGTTACGTATTGAATCCAGTGAGTTTATCATTTTCAGCAACAGAAGTGGCCATTTTTATTTTATACTATATACGCATTAAAGCCAAAGAAACATTATAACAACTATAATATGGCCATGAATATGTGCACCTCTTTGATTCACGCGTTATACCAGATCATCAAGCTACCACCTCGATGAATTTATTCGTCAACCATGTTCTCGCAACATTGGAAATTTTGCTTTGCTCGACTTGTACCTTTCTCAACTGCGGGGAGTTCAACAAAAATAATTCAACTGCCTCCACCTCGATCCCACAACAGTACGTTATATCAACGCTCTGCAACAATTTACAGTTCCTAATCATTGAATTCACAGATAAGCTAGTCAACCTATTACAACCCCTCAATTTCAGTTCACTCAAGGAATTACACGAAATGAGCATTGATATGAACTCCCTGTCGTGCAACATTTCATTATAAGACAAGTCTAATTTCCTTAACCTCTTCAAATTCTGTCCTAAAGTGGTCAATAGCCCGAATTCTCTCTCGACCACATCACAATTAATCAATGAAAGTTCTTCAAGCACATTGCCCATAACCCTCCCAAGAGCCTTTAATCCCTCGCCAGTAACAAGACAGCAACTTTGCAACCTTAAACTAACCAAACTCCTAAAATTCAGATTCTCGGATATGGCAATCAAATGACTGTTATAAAGATCGAGAGGCAACCGAAAATCAAGTTTCCGCAATTTACATTTGCTTTGACTTATGAATTGATGCAAACCTTCTCTACTACCACCATCATAAACCAACAGAAAATCCAATGAAACACAATTCTCAGCCAATTTCAACAAAACCCCATCAACAATACTCCTACAAGTCCTCAATTCCACTTCTTGAAGACCCTTTTGACGCATAATGAAACCCGAAAAGGAGGCGTTATCACCTAAACTTTCACAGCTCTTCAGCTGAAGTTTCTTGATGTTCTTACAGTTTCTCCATAGAAAATTAAGCCCAAAATCCCCCGCTCGAATACCAGATACAGAGAGACTCTCTAAACCCAGTTCAACATCAAGAATTTCATTCATTTCATTGACACCAAGTGAATTGAATTGAGTTGAAGGGTTTACAAGAAAGAGGGTAAGGTGTTTTAGTGAGTTGAAAAACTTAACCCAATGGAAATAGAGGGGTCTAGAGAGAAAGATAGTGAGAGAAGAGAGATGATTACAAGAATTCGAGAGGTTGAACAGAGAGAACGGCGATACTGGGGTGCTCAAAAATCGAAGGTTCCGGAGATTGGGGCAAGAAGCGGATGCAGAAAGGAGGACATGAGCGGCGGCAGAGGTGTCGCAGTCAGTGGAGAGGGTAAGAGATAGTGATAAAAGATAAGGGTGTTGGCTTAGGAAAGATGAAAGTGAATTAATTGTGGTGGAATCGTATGAAGTGGGGCTGAAGTAAAGAGAAAGCGAGGACGTGGATGATCGGAGGAGGCGGAGCCACCGCTTGCAAACGAGGGAGACTTCGGCGGAACACAGCGGCCGAAGACGATGGAAGATTTCCTGAAGCAACTCATCACAGAGAATTGAGTCCATCTTTGATAATTCCGTATTCTCTTCTTTTTCTTAATTATATGCTATAAAAGTCTAAGTCTCCATTTACCTGCCACCCATTATGTGAGGCCATTGATGGAGCTTTTTGTTTCTCTTTAAATCTTTTTTCAATTGTGGAAAAGGCATGGAATTTTTTAAGAGCCCTGTGGCCTGTAATTTTCATGGGTAAATGAAGCAAGGGTTACTTTAAAGTTGAAGACAAGTATTTGTGTTTGTGGTACTTTAAAGTTGAAGACGAGGATTTGTGTTCGTGGTCAGAGTGAAGCAACGTGTTGAAATAAATGGAGTGATGTGGTCATCGACTTGAGCCGCCAGTAACTCATGCCTCCATTGAACTTTAGGGTTATTCTCGAGGGAATTTTTTGGGGACTTTATTCGGCCTCCATTGGTAATTTATAGATGATTTTAAAGATAAATAATAATAAAAATAAGTAATGAGTCATACGAAAATTATGAAAAATAATAAACAAATAAATAAACAAATTTGCGAGTGAGAGGAATCAATCATGTTACTTTTACAAATTGGTTTACAATGCATGAGTTGACAATCATCACATCCATCTATTTGAAAAACTGTTTTTAAAATCAATGACAATGATTTTTCCAACACACTTGTTGTCAATCAAATTGTGCAAATACATTGTACAAGTGGTTTTATTCAAATCTAGATGACCTCAATGTTGAGTATGATCCCTAGCCTTTAGACCCATTGACCTTGTGTGACTCAAGTTTACCATTGGAGGGCTTGGCCTCTTCCTTAAGGCCGGTCTCTTGATACAGGACTTGTCGCCCTTAACTCGTTCACATGGCTCTTGTGTGGCATCAAGTCCACATTGGTCCTATGTGGCATCAGACATGACTTTAGATAAGATGAAGACCCGTTTGGCTCCCATTTTATTTGAAATTATAATTTTTGGAACAATGTTTTTTGGGAAGAATGTATAATTAAAAAAATAATTTTTTAAGATATACTTGTAATATTATTTTATTGAATAATGTGCGATTGATAAGAAGAGAAAGAAAAATTGATTATAATTTTAATGGAGATCAAATAGAAGCTAATAGCATCACAATATTGTCTTGAAATAGGTGGTAGAAAGACAAATTTAGTTGGTTTTGATGAATATGTAAAGCTAATAATTAAATTTGAAAAGAGTAACAAAAACATTACAGGAGTTAGTCCCTTAAAACATTTCTTGTCTACCTTTTAATTGACTGGGTTCAAATTTATACGGAAAGTAAAATGGATAAAGATAGTTGCACAGCCCATAATTTTGGACGATTATTTTTCAGCAGGTCCACCTATATTTAGTTGGGCACAACACATCACGAATAATATATTATATCATCGTTGATTGATTAAAACTAGTGACCCGTCTGCAGGTTGGCCGTCCACCGCATATACTATTTATTTTCCCTTTTTTTATGTTGTCCACATATTACATAATCTTTGGTCCCCTTCAAAAGTCTTTAAAAAAATTTCCTTTGCAGTTTGGTAATTTTTTGAACTAACTAAAACGTGTAAACATGTTATTTAACACCGATGAATTTAATTTATGATTGTGCTACAAACAATTACTCGTTTTTCTGGTATTTTTATTTTCTTCTATAAAAGAATTTTTTTTTAAAATTCTCAGATAAAGAATCATCATTCGTTTGTTCAAAATGATTACTTGATAAGTTGTCTTCGGTATAGTCTCAAAAAAGATTAAGTCCTTGTTTGAGCCACATTTTAAGAAAAAATGCATTATTCATGTCAAATTAATGAGAAATGTGTGGTTGAAAAATAAGGAAAAATTTTATATTTGTGTGTAATATTATTTTATTGAAGAATGTGTAGTTGAAATGATGTCAAATCACTGTTGAAGAATGTATTTTTTAAAAAATAATGTGGCTGAAACAAGCCTTAAGTAATTAGACATGGTAAGAGATATAAAAGATTTTGAAATTAAGTAAAAATAGAGGTGGAGAGTTTTGAGCAAACTTTTGTTTTTGAGAAATTAGGCCATGTGTTGTTTAACAAGAAGAAATTGAAAAACACCTTAACTATTTTCAGAGTGCTTCCCACGGTCCACTCGAGTTTAGGCTTTTGCCCTCCATCACTCACTGAAAGATATTCTCCATCACTCACTGAAAGATATTCAAAAATAAGGTTGAACTCCAACTTTGAGAGTTCTCACCGTCCCATCCCTAAAACTTTATAAGGGAAGTAAATCGAAAGTTATGCCCCAACATGTCAGGGAATAAGAGATGTCTGTACACTACTTACAGGGAGTCTATTCCATGTCTTAGAAATCGAACTCACACTGTGATTGCCAGCAAGACGTGAGATAACCTCACTCCTGTCCTTTGCACTACTAGACTATGCTTCAAAGGGCCATTGAATGATATTCACTTCACTTTTTGCTCTTGTAATTGACAAAAATCATGTGGCAATTAAATGAGATGCCAACCTAAACAACACCTATACTCCAAACGCACATCTCGCTTCTTTAATCGAAACATGCCTCTCCATTCTTTCCAAATTCAAACGAAATCACCCAACCAAAAGAAAAACCCCCAATTTTTCCAAACCCTAAGCCCCAAACTGAATGACATCATCTCTACATCATAAAATAAATGTCCTTGATGATTCCACTTAGGGTAAATAGCACAAAACATCGTCAACTTTTAATATTATTGTGCAAAACGTTCATACCTTTCATTTTTTAATATTTTCATCCTTATTTCCACCTTTCATTATGCAAAAGATCATTTTCATCTATTTTTTCCAATAAAAAGATGATTTTACTCTCTTATTCAAATAAAACAAAAAGAAAAGAAAAGAATTAATTGCAGCAATGGTCTCAATTTTTCAAGAAATTACAAATTTAACCACAAATATATAGTTAAATATCAAAACTAAAAAACTAAAAATCATTCATCTTCTTCCTCCACGTAGTGATTTCACCAATGGACAAAAAAAAAAAAAAAAAAAAAAAAAA